TAGTCACTAAACCAATCACAAAGTCGGACTTGGTATCAAGTCCACGACCTGATCTGGAAAGTAGCATGGATATTGTGGACTCCGAACAAGGTACTTTCCTCTAGGTCTAATCACTTCTATACAATAGAAGGAGACCTCAACCACACTAAAGCCTACACCATCTTTTAGTTAATTATCTTTAAGCTACCCAGACCAAATAAATTTTTATTAAAGAATTACTCAAAGTTCGAAACATTTCAATAGAGCATATATTACATTTACCACACTCGAACAAATTCATCAACAAAAATGAATAACATTTTGTTTTGTTACCATCTTCGCGTCCTCTTTAATTTATTAAAGTTATCTTCAAGCCCAAGCGATCTCTCTTTCTCATGAGATTTTTTCAGCGAAGATGACGTTTCCCATTCTGCTATGAATGGCTTTGATCCTGATTCACGTTTCTTTGTTGTGCCATTTTTAACTTTTAAAAAAAAGAATATAGTCAGCCTATACTACTTAATTGATTAAACTACTGATAATAAGTTTTTCCAACAATGACACGAGCAAGCCTTATAAATCCAATACATTTTATTAATGCCTGTCTCCCAAATCTCATCGTAGCTGCTCTTAGACTCAATGACATCGTAAGGTCTGTTAATTAAGTAATATTTAATTAATTCACTTTAAGTGACGAAAAACCGAATTATTAACTATTTAATAACTACTCATAGTTCTAAACTTTCCCACAAAGCATATAGATTTTTTATCCCATTCGACACACTCACACAATTGTCTTTTGCTTGGTTCACATTTTTGTTATTTGGTCAAGCCATTGACGCCATCTTCAAGTCCAAGCGACCTCGATTTTTGATGAGCATCTACCGAGAAGAATTTGTGCTGCTGGCATTATCGCTTAACAGACGATACTTCTCTATCACACTCCCGGCGCTTCCGGTCGCCAAATTGGTCAATGCCAAAATGGACCTACAGCCCCCAACGGCCGATCCTGGCCTTCTATTCTTCGTCGGTGAGTATGAAATGCTGATGGTGGATGCAACTGTGGCCTACGCCAGAAGGCTAAGGAGTAGCGATCAGATGAGGATCATCATTGTTCGCAGTCCCGTGACAACACGTAAGAGACACACATACAGATGGACATTCTTCGTTAGCTTCCTCTTAATGATGATGCTAATACCTCCGAAGATGGGAGTGGGAGGTGGTGGTGCAGATATTAGTGCCGGTTATTGTGGGGTGGAGGCAGTAATGGTTGATTTTGCGGTTGTCGACTTCGACGATGACGACCAGAGATCTTGGTAGGGCTATGCGCTTGTGTGTGTGTGTGTGTGTGTGTGTCGAGATCACTAGTGCTGCTATTGACCAAGGCTGCTGTGTGAGGGGTGGAGAAGAGGCTTCCTACGAGGTGATCAGACCAAAGATATTCTACTGGCGATGATTTGGGTTTTGAAGTAATTTGGTTTTAGCAACAGGCTCACGTTGGTACTGAGGTGAATCCTCCAGTCAGTAGTTGAAAACGGGGTTTTTCCAAATCGGCTGTATTGTCAAGGAGAGATTGGATGAACACATTTTGTGCCATAGTAGGCAAAATAATTCCCAGGATCATACTGCTGACTGGGAACATTTCCAGATGTTTTGTTGGCATCTTCAGCGAATCTAACAATTCTAACAACTATGAAAATGACAATATTATTGAGATAGGTATGGTAAGGCTGACTGATAACGCCGAATATGTTACCGACATATTGTTTAGCAATGTATCAAATTTTGCGTTTATAAGTTAGTTTACGAGAATCAAGAAGATCATATAAATGAGGTGTATGCACCCCATTTTGTCTAAGGTGATAAAGTACCGAGGTTAATTAAGC